ACTTCCTAGGGGTTGGGTTCAGGAGTATAAAGCACTCGCGTTGCTGTGCAGCCGCCCCAGCTGTCCACCCCCAGAGCCTCTGTCATCCTGCCCCACTGAACCCCGCGCCCCCCGACGGCCCTGGCGCCCGCCCTTCTACTTTCTGTCTCTCTGTCTCAACCCCTCTTAGTGCCTCATATAAGTGGAATCCTACAGGATCTGTATTTTTGTGCCTAGCTTATTTTACTGAGCCTGCTATCCACAAGGTCTGTCCGAATTCCCTTCCTTTTCAAGGCTCAGTAGTCGTTGAGCGGCTCTTCCACACTTTGTTCATCTGTCCATCCATCTGTGGATACTTGGATTGCCTCCACCATCTGACTGTTCGGAGTATGGGCACACAAGTGTCTGTTCAAGACCTTGAATTCCTTTGGGTAAATTCCCAGAAGTGGAATTGCTGGATGGAAAGGTAATTCTGTTTTTAAATTTTAAGAAACCACTCACTGTTTTCCACCGTGACTGCTCCGCCTTCCTATCTGTAAGAGTTCTGGCCATTTTTACCCCTCAAGTGCACCCAGAAGCAAATGTTTGGTGCTGTCCGGACCACCCTGGGTGGGTGAGGACGTCCCAGGAGAGGAGCCACTGACTGACAGTCGGGCTGTGCACTCGCTCCGCCTTTCCGTGAGGCCGGTTGAAAATAACAGTGTGTAAAGCATGTGCCTATCAAGTAATCTGCTGCAGAGACTGTTTTCTCCAGATGTGCCCACACAGGTGCTCAGAAGTAGATGGGATCCCTACCTGCAGGAAGGGAGGGAGGCTGGAACCTTGCTGTTGATGCTTTAACCGGTATTGTTAAACCTTCTACCAAGATCATTATGAAAACGAAGAATCCGTGAGAAAAGGGATCATTGGCCTGCCTCTGGAAAGCCCAGAAAGGAAGGCATCAGGCAAGTCTGGGTCCTGCATAGGAGGAGAAGGTGCCCTTAGGGTCTGCAGAGCATCAGAGGACACTTTACACAATTTTCCACCAGTAACGCTGCCAAAGATTGAAAATTTTGTTTCAATAGCAAGTTTTTGTTATGAAAATCAGGCCGCCTATGCGTTCTTGAATGAAATCCAGACGCTGTACGTATGAATGGGTGAGCAAATGTGGAAGTTCCTTCCCACAGTAGCAGACATTGCACCTGCCTCCCGTGTCCCTTTAACCTTGGCTGGTGCCCAGGTAAACCTCTGCCAGGCCTTGGCTGCCCACGCTCACTGCCTGACCTCCCTGGGGTATAACTGGACTCCGGAGAAATAAGGACATGGTGCCCTTATTCCTTGAAGCAGGACAAAGAAGTCAGGCTCCTTTCCTACAGTGATTCGAGCATTTGGGGAGCCAGTTTTCCCCTTCAAACACTGCATTTGCTGGAGTGGCTCTGTCACAAACTGGTGAATGTGGGGGACGGGGGCTGCCTTTTGTCCCCCTTTGTTAACATGTGGAGCAGAAAGCTAGAAATGATGGTGCCAGAAAGACAGACCCCTGTCACAGCAGAAGCATTAATGAGACAGTCCCACCTGTTACAGAGTGGCACCCTCAGCTGCAGTGTCTGTGTAAACACATGCAGTGATGTTCCAGTTTGGGGACAGACCACAGTGATAGAGTGAAAGCAATTAAATACTAGTACAGAAAGTAAGTGTGAATTCTTGAATCTGCTGCTCCATCGAACTTTTTAATTCGTTTTTACCTGGCATAGGGGGCTTAATGGGAACTCACCAAGCCTGGTAGAAAGGAAGTACTGCTCTTCTGTCCTAACCATCCCTGTCTGTGACAACCTGCTCTTGCAGTTCTTTGTGATCTAGGTGAACCACAGCCACCTCTGGGGACAGCAAGAGGCTCCCCTGCATTTGACCACCGTCCCAGAGACTAGCACAAATTTCCCGACTCTTCTAGCACAAAACTTTGCTCAATTGTCACATGTGTTCAGTTACAAGAGGTCGACAAGTACAAAACAGCCTATACAACACATTTCAAGAGAGGATAAATAAATCTAGAATCCAAAATAGTGCCCAGTTTGCCCCGGGAAGGCAGACACACGAGGCTTCAAAGAACTGTGTGCAGCAGCCTCCCTGCTGTGCGCGCTTCCCTTGGAAACACGGGTAATTTCTGAGTGATGGCCAGAGCATTAGCTGATGCTCTGCCTACTGTTTACTGAAGCCGCAGAGCGCAGCACAGCGCCAGATCTCACTGCAATGGGAGAAAGAAGGTGCAGATACAAATGTGGTGATTACGATCCAGGGAGCCCAGGTGTGTACCAGCCAAGAATATGTAGTTACAAATAACCTGCATTTCCTGTGGGCCGCATTTCAATTCCTGAAGACCTTATTTGCAAATGACGAATGAGACTACAATATAATGAGTACAAAATGCAAAGTAGAGTCTTCACGGAAATACATGGACGAGTTTCCCTGCATACGGTGTGTGCTGCCGTGAGGCTCTGAAGCGTGTGCCCAGATCTCCCACCACCGTCAGCAGGCAGCCACCAGGAAAAGAACCAAGAGGTACAAATCCAAGGTAGTTTTTACTTAATTGTCATGACCAGAGGATCATGCAGTAATTCTGATCTTCGTCAAAGGAGGCAAGCACACAGGTGGGCACGAGGCAGGACTGCATTGGAAGTCAAACCGTTTGCTCGTTCTCAACGTTTTATCACAACAGCAGTCTGGCCGCCCATCCCGGACAGCCAGGTGCTGGGGGTTCAGGTCGGGTTACAGGACGTGGGGGATAGACATGGAAATCCAAAGGTCCTCGGGGGTGAGGCCCTTGAAGAAGAAAAGCTGATGCTGCATGTAGACCAGGGCTTCTGACACCAGATGCCTGGGTTTTCCATGCCAACAGATTTTCCAGTTCTCAGTAGATACCCACTGGGTGTCCTACGATGCAATTCCGCTCTGGCCTGACTACCCAGAGCCATGCAAAGCCATGGGGTGGGTCTGTGTGCCACAAGGCGCCAATCAAATCCCAGGTTGTCCTGTGTGCTTCTGACCAACCAAGACCCTCTCTTTGGCTTTGATAATTTGTTAGACCAGCTCACAGAACTCAGGAAAGCACTTTACTGTTACCAATTTATTATAAAGGATACTTGAAAGGATACAGGTGAGCAGCCAGATGGGGGTGCATGGGGCAGGGTCCCGAAGGGTCCTTGAGCGCTGGTGTTTCTCTGTCCCCTTGGGCTGTGGAAAGGGATGCCCTCCCAGTGCATGGACGCTGTCATGTTCACTAGCCCAGAAACCCTCAGAACCCTATTGCTTAGGGGTTTTATGGAGGTTCCTTATATCAGCGTGATTGATTAAGTCATTGGCCCCTGGTGATTGATTCAACCTCTAGCCCCAGTCCGCTCCCCTCCAGGATACCAGGGGTGGGGCCTGAAGTCCCTGATCAGTGGTGGGTTCCCCTAGTGACCGGCCCCCATCCTCAGGGGCTTCCCAACAGTCACCTCAGTGTAAATTAAGCTGTGGTTCTGAAGGTGGCTTGTTAGGAGTGAGGAAAGCCCCTGTCACCTCGAGCCAGTTCTGCAGCAGAGCAAGATGCTTCCGACCTTTTCTCCAGCACTTGGGAAGTCACAGGTGCCAGGAGCCAAGCCCAGGACCGAACTGTGTGTTTCCTTTACATCTACTGTCCCCGATCCTTGGAAGAAAGACCGGATTAGATCTGAGGTCAGGGTGGGAGCTGGCCAGGGGCCCTTGAGCAGGTTTGACAGAGCACCCCCAAAGCCCGGTCCTCGTGAGCTCTGGTTTGACCTTGAGCATGTCACCCGCCTGCGTCAGCCTATTTCCTCCCTTAAAAGTAGGAATGATGACAGGTACCCTGCACCCTGTTGGAACCCCCACCCAACCTAGACCAGGCAGTGTAGCTGGGGAAGCAGCACCGTGGTGACCAACTGCTCAGCCTGTTTCTGTCCTCCACCTCCTCCTGTTCCCAAGGGTCTTTGCAGCTCCCAGCACCCCAGCCGCCAGCCTCTGGGGACAGCAGAGCAGGCTTGGGATCCAGCTCTGTGGGGACGGGTCAGCAGCCTCCAGTCGAGATCAGGAAGCCCTGGCCTCTCAGAAGGTGGCCGTGTGGGACGCAGGTCCTGTCTCCCCAGACTTGGGCCAGGCTCTGGCTGGAGTCACCCCTGTACCTCCACTATGTCCGTGATGCTGGTCCCATGCCCTGCCTGCTTGGTCCCCACTCTGACTCACAGGAAGGAGTTGGCACCTCTTGGACCTTCCCAGTCTGGAGAAAACGCAGAGTTCTGAGGGCCTTAGGGTTTGTGTTTTTAATGGACTTATTTTTAGAACAGCTCTAAGTTTACAGAAAGCTTGGGCAGCGCTCAGCGAGCTCCCTGCACACCCTCATGCCCCACAGGTCCCCTGGTGAGACCGATGGCATAAGTGCTTTTGTTACAATGATGGCAGGGTTCCTTGCCATCACCAAGTCCATCCGAGGTGCTGTGGGCTCACTGGACAGTTCCAGGCTTTGGCCAACGTGTGCTGACATCACAGTAGCAGGCAAAGGTTTCGCCAAAGCCCCCGGTGCTCCTGATTGCCCTCCCCCCCATGGGGCTTAGGACTTGATGTAAGCAGTGACTGAGGAGACGGGCTTGGTGGAAATGACAAAGCGGCAGTCTTGGGGGGCCCTGGCGCCCCCTGCCTTGGGCTCAGCCAGCGCCGGTGCCCAGGTTTCTGTCTTGCCGGAAGCTGCTTCCTCAGGACCCCGCTTCCTGCCCTTCCCTGCAAACCCCAGAGCAGCCGTGCAGGTGCTGGGCACCCCCTGTGCCCGCCCACCATTCTGGGAGGCCCAGCCAGGGGCTGGCGTTAACGGGCATCCCAAATGCAGGGGGTGCGAGGACCTCCAGCCCCCAGGTATCCAGGCGCCCCGCCCTGCCCTGGCTTCCAGCACAGCAGCAGGGCCAAAGGGTGCGTTCCCCGGGAGAGCCGCTGCGTCTCAGGGCCGCGCCGAGGCACATTTGTTCTGAGGCTTCCCCTCTGCCCTGTCGCGGCAGGTGCTGGCATCGATGGAGTGGAGGAGATCAAGCGGCACCCTTTCTTTGGGACCATAGACTGGAACGTAAGTTGCACGTCATAGTCCCACTGCACAATGACAGGGATGTGACTGGGCGCCGGGTGGGCCCATGAGGTGCTTGGGATAAGCGAGAGGCAGATGTAGGCCTTCACATGGAGGGGGGCGCTTGGAGTCCTGACCGCCTGGCCCTCCCGCGGCTCCTGGTCTGAGGTCCCTTGAGCCCTTTGCCGTTCACAGACTGGCTCAGGTGGCCCTGCAGCGGCTCCCACCCATCAAGGGCAGAACAGGGATCACCTTTGGCTCAGCAAGAGGCCATGGACCCCCTTAGGTGGCTGGGTGCTGGGTGTCCCAGGCTCTGTATCATACCCCATCTTCTGGGGTGCAGGCCCCCACAGTCCTGGGGGCTAAGGAAACAGTGTCACCCAGAGTGTCAGAGGCAGAGCTCTTGGTGGTGCTTGGTGACAACCCAGAGAGGCCTTGGTCTGAGGGCTGGGTGAGGGCTGCGGTGTGCCCGTGGGGATGGGGGCCATGGGGACGGGCGGCCAGTGGAGAAGGGCCAAGGGCTGCAGGGAGCTCTGCAGTGCACCACTGGGGACCAAGGGGCGTAGAGATGGGGGCCAGTGGAGAAGGGGCTGGGGCAACGGCTGTGGGGAGCGCTGAGGTGCGCCGGTGGGGACGGGGGCCATGGGGATGGGGGCGGGGCACTGTGGTGCTCCAGTGAGGATGGGTCCAGTGGTGCCTCGAAGCCACTGGGGGCGGGGGCTGGGCAGCCAGGCTGGGCTGGCCCTACAGGATCCTGTTGAAGGCAGGCCAGGGTGCTCAGACGCCTGGGGCAGGAAGGGTGGGCTGCTGGCTAGACTGACTTAGCATTCTTTCTGAAGTTGAGGTCCAGATGTCACGCCTGGTAGGAAAGGGTGCAGGGGCCCTAGGAGGGTGGGCAGTGCCATACCCCGTGGCCAACCACTTAGGAGGGAGTGCCCGTGCCCAGCTCCCCAAGCCAGCCACCTCAACACCCTGGGGGCTAGACACTGTCTATGTCCAGTCCCCCATTTCTGCCCAGTCCACTTCCTGGGCTGTGCTTTGGATTGGAAGGAAGCATCCTTGTGGCAGTTCTTGCCCACCCCCTGCAGGGTAACCACCGTTACATTTTCCCTTCCTGCACTAACAGGCTAATCTCAGGGCATTTTTACAGAATGCAGAGAAAGAGCAAAAGTTCTCTGTGGTGCTGTGGGTGTTACGTGTGTTCGTCTCCCCCTCTGTCCTCACATCCCCACGTGTCTGGTGCCTTGATGGATTTCCGTGAGGGCGGCCCCACCTGCTGCCCTGAGGTTTTAACACAAAGACCCAATGAAGCTGTTCAGAGCGCCCATCTTCCCTCATTCACACCTCACCCAAACAGAGCCCCAGGAAACCTTGTTTCATAGTCTTGATTATAGAACCTTTATCAGATTAGGCTTTTTTCAAAGGTAAGATTAGAGAGAAGCATGGAAAATTTCATCATATCCATGACCTCCTGGCCAGGTAGAAAAAGCTTGTTCAAAGATGAAACGGAGATCACGTTGCATCCAGAAAAACTGGGCAGCCGAGGAACTCAGGACATGCCCTCCACTGCCACCCGTTGAGACCCTTTGGGCTTGGCTATCCTGAAAGCACGGGCTCACAGGGGGCGCATCCTCAGCACACGGGGCACCTGGACGTCAGTTTTAGTTGATTGCCTATGAATTGGAGCAGTTGCTTGTGGAAACCTTGCTGCATGAGGGAGTCGGACCTCAGGCGGGCCTGGTTAGCTTGGTGGTGCTCTGTGTGCTGCTGCCCAGCCTGGGCTGGCTCAGTGCAGCACCCGGGAGCACCAGGAGCTGACCCCCGGGGACCTCCCCTCCCAGGAGGACGTGCACTGGGGACTCCTCCGCCACGTGTGTTCCCTCCCCCCACCCCCCACTGTTGGTTCATGATCTGGGGGAGCTTCCCAGATGTGGCCCGACACAGCCCCTGGGTAGGGGGCAGGGAGAGAGCAGAGGGAGGCAGGCCCCAGGTTGGCAGGTGGTGGGTGTAGTCAAGGGAGCTTACACACAGGCTGCCTTGGGCAGGACGCGGGATCTCTGCACCCGCCCACTAGATCTTCAGAGGCTTACAGAAGCCTAGCCTGAGCCCAGCCGCGTACACAGACCAGAGGGTGTCAACACCACTTCCCTACGTCAAGGCTGTGTCCTTGGTGCGGCTCTGGGAGCCGGGAAGGCAGGCAGAACCCACACTCCAACGATGGGAGGCGGTGAGGGCCTCCGGGTGCTGGGGTCCAGCCCTCGGGTCAGCTGGCAGTCATGTCTTCTGAAGGAAGTTCCCCAACACCCACAGCCAGCAGGGTAGTTGATTGTTGCTCATGTGTCCATTCATTCAGCCTTGATGAGCATGTTGGCATTTACCAAGGCATGGGGGCAGAGCCATGGGTGTGACCGGGAGTCCTGCAGGGGATGGTGACGTGGCTGGGGAGGGGCTGTGAACCAAGGGGGTGCGCTGTGTCACCAGGAGACTACTATGCTGGCAGGCTCGGCCCGCACCCATGTGCCCCAGCAGCCCACTTCCTCTAGTCTTCTCGCCGAGACGCACCCTGCCAGCACCCCCAGAACCGCCACTCCTGCCTGCCCTGGCCCTGCTCGGCTGCCCGTGTCCCTGTCGCCTTCCAGTGTACCACGTGCCACCACTCACTCACTGTGCTCATCGTTTTCTGTCTGCTGCCACTGGGACCTCAGCTCCAAGACAGCAGGAATCTGTCTGTCCTGCTCCATGCTGTTTGCACACCTCAGATGGCCTGGCTCAGAGGCGGCCCTGAATCAACCCCGAGTGAGCGGGTGACGGAGTGCAGGGGTTGGCACCAGGGCTTTCCGGGTGCAGGGGGCCCTGGGCGGGGGCTTCCCTCTCCTCCCTCTGTGGCACCCTCAGCCCACCAGCACAGCCGTGCCCCAGGGGAGGTCAGGATCTCTGGGGTGGGGGAGGCAGGGCTGGCCACCGGACCTGGGGTGGCAGGCCAGCGGGAAAGGGACTGGCATGGGTGGGAGGTCCTGGGGGCAGCAGCTGGGAGGAAGGGGAGGTCCAGACCTGGCCACAGGTGGCTGCCCCACACTGGACTTGGCTCAGGAGGGGATGTCTGCTGTGCTTATCTCAGCCAAGAAGGGGTGCCCACCAGGGAGCTGGGCGTGTCACCAGTGGAGCCGAGAAAACTCCGTGAGATGTTTGGGATTTGAACAGTGTGAAGGCCTGAACATGATGTGAGGCTGGAGAGTGTCTTCCAGGAGGCCCAGGCTGTCCAAGATCTGGGCAGTTGCCCAGTGTCTGCCCCGCAGTGAGAGCCAGGCCAGCGTCAGAGCAGCTCTGCTGCACACGGTCCCCCATCCCTGTCACAGGGACACAGTTCCTGAGAGAGCAAACGTGGTCATGAGGTTTCTGCACCAAGAAGGTGGCATTTCTGCATTATTTCAAAGAATTAAGTTGGGATATTTCTTTTGTTGCTTTTAGCTTTTAATTTCATTTGATTTTTTGTTTGGTTTTTGAGAGAAGCCCTTCAAACTTATTAGGACTGCACATATTTACTATCATTTCTACATTTGCCAGAGGTTGACAAGCAAGGCCAGAGGAATGGACAGCCCTCATTCCAGCCCATGCGCTAACTGGAGGCAGCTAGTGAGCAGGAAGGTGGCGCTGACCCACCACTTATGCACATTCATCTAACAAATGATACTTGGCTCTGGCCCATGTCAAGGCAAGCAGGGTGACTGTGCAGTGGCAACTGAAGGGCATGGCTGCCCTCAAGCTGTAGAAACACCCTCGTCCAGCCACAGAAGATGTGCAGTGTGGGTGTCCAGCCTCAGAGGATGGAGAGAGAGGTGAGGTGTTCCCAGTAAAGATGTACTGGGACTAGCACCTTATTTTGCGACTGCCGGCCTTGCCAGGGCTGAGAGCAATCCCCCTCTCAGGCTGGCCTGCCTTCCCATGAGAGCCACTTGTGGGAATAACTGCATCCTGTGGCCTACCTCAGCCCCCTGTCACACCAGGGAGAACACCAACCCATGCTTTAGGGGACAGCCACAATAATGCAAGGTGTCCCCAGGCATCCAACGGACCGTGTTCCTCAGTTGTCCAGATGCACCCATTGCATTTCTGGCAGCCAGGATAACTGAAAACCACAGCAGAGTCAGATTCACGAAGACTGTAAATACCAAGAGGCATTGCTCCTGTCACACAGACGCCCAGAGCAGGGAGATGTCCTCTGACCTAGAGATCCACCCTGTGCCTGCCTCACGATGCAGCCTGGAGAATAGACGGGTGTTCACTTCCTTTCTGTATCCTTCCATGCCCCAAAACTGCCAGTCAGGTGTTTTTCTTTTTAAGTAAACACCTGTCATCCAACATTTCTCCCTGGGGGCTTTGGGGACCTACTGGTGCAGAATAAGTCCATTGACCCGTTGGTCCTGTGGGGTAACTAGCAAGTTAATGGGGAGGCTCTCTTCCTGGAAGCTTGCTGTTTCACCAGCTAAATGAACAATTGCAAGTTACTTATAGACCGAGAGGAGGTGGGGTGCGTCCAGCACATCAGCCAAATGGACTTTTCCCCTGTGGCTGGAGCAGTGCTGAGAACACAGATTTAGCACAAGTCCAGAATAAGCTTCCTAAAAGCTAATTGCCACAGGCTTGTGAGCCCATCCAGGCCCAGCCTCCAGCTCAGCCTCACTCTTGCAGTGGGAAAGGTGCTTGCGTGGACACGTAGTCACTGGGGAGGGAGGCCTGCTGATCGGCTTCTGGGTTCCTGGCTAAACCCTCGTCATGACTGCTCAGTACTCATGAGCATTGCTGCTTTTATGAATGCCAGCATCTTATGCTTGCATTGTTACTTTTACATTGGAAACCCAAGCAGATGAGTTATTGTGCTGTGAGATGGGACGGACTCCTGGGGGAGACTGAGGCACGGGTGAAGGTTACCGAGTGGCCCAGCGGCACGTGCCTGCCTTGCTGCCTGTGGGCGGCCGTGGGAGCAGAGTGCCGGCTCTAGGTTCCCTGGCAGCATCTCAGGTTACCCAGGACTGCAGAGCAGAGCTCAGGGGTTCGCTTCCCAGGAGCTGCCGGCTGCTGGTGGGAGTCTCACAGTGCGTGTGTCCACAGCACCCTTCCTCTACACAGCAGGAGGATTTCCATCCAGGTATTCCTGTGTCAAGTGCACCAGGAGCACTCCCCTTTCAAGGAGCCTGGCAGGACTCTGTGCAGCGAATGGTCACCCTCGCTTTCTGTGGCTCTAAATCCAGATACATGTGGGGGAGTTGCTGCCAGTGGGAGTGACCCGTGCAGGCAGAGCTGCACGGCCGCCAACACGTTAGGGCCACGTGGTGCGCTGGGATCCTTAAACTCCTGCTGCCCCTTCAGTTCCGGCATCACTCCGCGTCTTGCTCTGTTATTTCCGCATTGCTATTTCAGGAATCCCCTACAGCTGTGCCCCCTGGCTAATCAGAGTGTTAATGCTGAAATGCCTGAAGCCAGACTGCCTTCAGAAAACAGGTGTGAGGTCTGGGACCCAGAGCTAGAAGCAGTTTCCGATTCCATTATCCAGGTACATGTTCACTTTACTCCCCATGTCCTTCCCTTAGTCGTTTGAAGGTGTCCTAGGTATAAATAAAACCTGAGTGCACCTGCGCAGAGCTGCCTGGCCTTTACCGTGCAGTATGGAGTCCCTCGCAATATCACTACACCTCGTGTCGTCCTAAGACCCTGCACAAATGAGATGCTTTAAAGCAATGCTTGGTGAGTGTGATCACAAGACCCCATTTCTTGTCTGTAGTGTGGGGTGGGTTGCTCCAGAGACTCGGGGGAATCTGGGTAAAAATTATAATACATTTTTCCAAGTTTAAACCCCTATGCAAAATGCTTGTGCCATCTCACTATTTACCCCTATGCAGTGTTTACATGAGAAACAAGATAAAAAACCTTGCTTCTAAAACCTCAGAGAAAGAGGTTTATCTGCTTATCCAGTAACAGGAAGAAATTGATGGGCTTGAAGATTGCAACAAGCGTAAGGGAGCTGTGCAGGTGGAGTGACTAGTTCCAAATGCCTCACGTGGCCTTTGCATCCCTTTGCTGCCTGCTTGGGCCCAGGATGGACCAGCAGCACCCCCATCAGGGATGGAGAGGGGGTATTCTGCGGCCAGATGATGCTCACAGCATGATCAGCACAAGGACCGGTGTTCCGGGCAGACGGGCCAACATGGAAACCTCCTGCTGCCCCTGCCCACCCACAAGCCTTGGTGGGCTCTCCACTCTCTCCCCCTGGTCAGTCAGGGTCTCCTCAGCTGCAGCACAGCTTTCAGAGGAAGCTTAGGAAGTGCAAAAAAAGTAACCATGTGCCTGCACAAGGTATGGCCTAAAGCCAGTGTTTTTACATGCTGCAAACAGGCCGTGTGTTTGCTGGGCCCTCTGATGGGTCCGGTGGGTGGGCGGCCAGTGGCTTCTGCCACAGGGCTGGGCATGCAGTGCAGAGGAGGATGTTGGGACCCTGCACGGAACAGCATGAGAACGAGCATGAGCGAAGCCACATGATTCAGCACCCCTGGGTGGAGAAGCTGCAACCCCCTCAAGTTTTCACTAAATGCTTCAATCAAAGGAGTCAGTGCCCTCCACCAAGTGACGTCCACAGCAGCAGTATCGCTACACTATGATTCTACAAAGTTTTTCCTGATGAGAAAAGACTTGGAAAGTCAGACGCTATGTGTCCCCTATGAGGGACCAGAGCCAATCCTGGACCGCTGAGCTGCTCTTGGGCAAAGACAGGCAGATACAGATGAATGATGTATCCCAGGGCTCGGCTTGCTCAGAGGTGACGTGCTTTCCTGGGTAGCTTGTATTCTTGAAGCACCGATTTCCCCTGTCAGAGGGAGGGTAGAGGCAATAGCCGACAAGCAGAGCTGGACGCTTCCCACCTGGTCCCAGGGGAGTGTCAGCCACCCCGGCACCCCAGCCCCACTCTTACCAAGGCATGGCTCTGCTACTGGTGACGGCTGGGGAGAAGCGAGGGGGTAGGACCTCCAGCAGCACGCTGGCCTCAGCCCACCGTGTGCCGGCAGCCCTCGTGGTGGGGACAGCCCCCATCTCCAGGTGTGGCCGGCTGCCCCGTTGAGGGGCAGAAGCACCCTTGGTTGAGGAGCACCAGGTCAAGGAGATTGTTTTGCCTGCTGCTACGAGGCTGGGGCCGGGCCCCTCTTCCTGCTGCAGGGCCCCTGCCACTGGCACTGGGATGGGGAGAGCAATGGTGACCTATGAGCTTCGGCTTCCAGATGCAAGCACCTCTCATTTGGATTAAATGACAACCAGAGAGTGTGTGTGTGTGTGTGTGCACGCACATGCACATGCAAATTCACTCTCAATGAACGTAGGTGCCTTGGCTCTAAGGAGGAGACTGCTCCCTCCCTCTCCCCTGCCTCTCTCCCTCTCTCCCTCTCTCCCCCTCTCCCCTCCCCTGCTCCTCCCCAGAGTAGCAGGAGAACGTATGCCTGCCTAGAGAGAGGCTGTGCTTTTTCTTGAGAAGGACAGAGACTTGTTTAGTGAAGCAGCGTGAAGACCGCTGAGGGAGAAGCTCTGGGCCCGGGGGAAGGCCTGAGCCCAGCCATCTGTCTTAGGAAGGATAAGTGTTTTAATCAGGGTGCAGAGCTGCCTCTGCTGATTAGATTTCCCCTGACAAGCGCATGCAGGGGAGTTCGTTCCTGCCCTGCCCTGGACCCCCATGGGAAGCAGCATCTTTCTACTGCTGGGAAGGGTTTAAGGAGTAACTGTGGCAGGAATGGCCAAATAACCGGGGCAGAGTTGACTCCTGTCTCCTCGACCGGCTCCAAGTGCACAGCCTCAGCTACCTGTGCACAGGCTCCAGCCCCTGCTGCTCCTCAAACCAAGTAGGGGCCTGGTGGGCCGCAGTCAGGACTGACCCCCTGAGCCCCTCATCCCCAGACAGCTGCTGTCCTGGCAGCTGCAGAGGCTTCTGGAAGAGTGTGCTGCATGCAGGAGTCCGCAGCCCCTGCTCCCGGCGGACCTGCCCTCATGAGCACCCCCTTAACCAGAAGAGTCAGGAGACCCCAGTCCTCCTCCTGTCTGCCCCTGAGTCGACCCTGGACAACATATATATCTTAGTGTCACCTTAACTTACCATCAGTTTCCTTGTCTGTAAAGTCGGGGTGATACCTGTTTTTCAGCATTGAGAGATTTGGAGCACATCTAGGAGAGTCCCAGCATCCATGTCCTAAGACTGCCCACCACCGGGACCCTGTCCCCAGAGCGGGGCTCCAGACCTGTTGAAACAGAAGGGCCTGGGAATCGATGTTTCCAGCCAGCACCTCAGTTGGCGGGGGTGCCCCTGTGATCGGGCAGGATTGGGAAAACTCGTGCTAAATGACTGCAGCGAGCTCTCCCCCTGGTTCCCAAGCCTGCTGCCATGCCAGGGCCAGGGGTATGACCTCTGGACACGCTGGCCATTGCCACAGGTTTGCAGGGCAATTTGACTAAACCTAGGTACTCCCCAGCCCGAAACCCACCTGAGCGGAAACCCCTCTCAGCCTCCATCAGGAGGTCAGCACCCTGGGCCCAGACCCCGCCCTTGATGCCCACTGCCACCCCGCTCCAGAAGCTGCCCTCAGATGGGCGCCCAGGCCCCCCAGGCCCCCCAGCTTCCTTCCTTCTGACCTTAGGCCACTCTACTGCCTGCGGCACCGTCTGCCTCGCCGCCAAGCCTGAGTCCACAGGCCTCCATATTGCTCTGTAAATTGAACCGTCCCAAAGAATGCATCGCTGCACTCCCCAAGATTGAAAACAGTGTAATGGCGTGGCTTGTGGGTGTTCTATATGTTTGGTCAAGGGTGGTATTGGTGAGTCAGCTGGGGACCCAGTGTGGCCTTAGAAGGGTTCATTCTCCATCTAGACGCAGTTGAAGTACCCAGAGTGTGTGAAGGAACCCAGAAGTGCAACTTGCCCCATGCGAGCAGAGGGGTCTGGACGCCCACATCTGGTGCCAGCCAGAGCAGGTGCCCGAGGGAGGTGCCGGGCCCCCAGAGCACAAAAAGACCTGTGTCATTTCCAAGTGGCAGTATGCAGTGTCTCCTCAGAGCCGAGGGGTCCAAGGGGCTGGCCTCAAGGTCACCAGGGCAGGGAGGAGGGCACCAAGTAGGGGGCTCTTCCCCTCTGCCAGCTGGTCAGGGGTGAGACCTGGCTGTCCAGGCCTCCTGCTTGAAGGGAAGACTCAGCCTCCCAGGGCCGGGATGCAGACTTCACACTGCCCTGGAAGGGGGGGGACAGCGTGTCCCCAAGCCCGTAGACCTGGAGCTGCGGCTTTCACATGACTCTATAGAATGTATAACTATATATCACTTGTAATGTGTGTGTTGTATGTTCGTCTGTGTGTCAGAGTGTTTGCAGGTGCTGTTTAGATGGCAATGCGTGCAGGACATAGTAAAGATGCCCCTCCCTGCAGGCAGCGGCTCCCCTACCCTGCGGGCCCTCCTGGGCTTCTTTGGTCCTCAGCCTGGGCTGCTCTCCTTTCAGAAGCTGTACAGGAAGGAGATCAAGCCGCCGTTCAAACCAGCAGTGGGCAGGCCCGAGGACACCTTCCACTTTGACCCTGAGTTCACAGCGCGGACGCCCACAGGTGTGTGCCGGCAGAGCGCCCGCGAGCCCGGGCTTCTTCCCAGGGTGGGTGCTCAGACCTGACCCACAGGGATAGATGGTACTTGGGATCTGTTTGATTTTCTTGTTTTCTCTGCCAAGTCATAAAGGTTTAAGTGGTAGAACGCATTCCCTGTTGCCCCCAGGGAACATCTAGGCTGGACATCACCCATCACCCAAGCGCGCTTTAGATCCCCTCCCACGCCCCTTGTTGAGTCTCCAGCCCAGTGACCTTTCTCCCAAAAGGACACACACAGGAGAAAAGCACCTCCAGACCAGGAAAATCTCTCATTTAGTACATGTGCATGGGAAGAGGAGGCTCAGTTATGTCTGTAGATGGGTGAGCCATACATCTGATTCATGCAGAAAACAAACTTGTTTGGGAAGTGTGGCGTGGCAGATGGACGTGTGATTTAGCATTCATGATATACCTGAAATCACTCTTATGGTCTGTCGAGTCTGGTCAGAACTGATCAGCCTCACAGTGATCGTCTCAGTGTGCTCAGCTGCCGTAACCCCGGCCGGACGGGGCCACTCAGACAGCAGGCATTGATTCTGGTGTCCGGTGAGCCTCTCCCCCGTGGGTACGGCCACCTCTGCCCTCACACAGCCTTGCTCTGCGTGCAGGGAGGAGACAGCCTGGTCTCTCCTGCCTCTAATAAGGACCCCAGACCTGTGGGCTCAGCCCCCCCTCCCCGACCCCCGCATTAGGAGCTCTCTTAACCATTACCACCGTCGAAGGCCCATCTTCGGGCGGTCACGTTGAGGGCCAGGATGGTCAGGGCATGACGGTCATGGCGTGTCCTGGGCCTCTTCTGGAGATACAGGCGAGGCAAGTAGAGGCACCTGGTGACTTCTGGAGCTGCATGACGTGTATACATGGTTCTTTGCCCACTACTTCTGTCTGGAGATTTCTTTTGATCTCTAAAGGGAATCATGAAACAGATCGATGGTCAGGTACCAAGTAGATAAAGTTGGAACAGAACCACTTTGCTCCCTGTGGTTTAGGCTGTTGGTGTTGGAAATAACCTACCAATGTGCTAGCTTAGAGCAGCTTGATTAAAAAGCAAGGCCCAGCTGAGGAGATTTTAGAATCTGAAAATCATGCGCTGTGAGACCGCAGTCGTGGCTCTGAAGACCCCGGTGTCCCCCGGGGCAGCTTGGACCCCAGGCTGGCTTTGAGCTCTTTGCTTTTCCTGCGCAGAGTTCTGGCTTCGAGGTCAGCCTGCTCTTGAAAATCCCCCAGGCTGCTGTGTGCCGCTGTCTCCACCAGGCGTGACAGATGCAGCCCCGTTAAGCAACCTCCAGCCTCAGGGCGCGCTGGCATCCTTCCTTAGCGTTTTAGATTTAAGAACTAGTCCATCCTCTGTGAGCCCCTCAGAGGCTAAGGGTGGAGCATAGATGGGGCTTGTTCACTGCACATTTAGGGGTGGGGTTGGGAGGACACAGCCCCATGGACTGGAACTGATGCACTTTCATTAGTGAATGGAGCATTTGTAGATCAAATAAGTAACGTCTTTTAACTAACAAATGGGTGTGAAGTATAGGCCATGCCTTCTACTTTCTGGGGCCACCGCTTCCTACAAAAACCAGCAGAGGTGGCTGTCAGCTCAGAGCGATCTGCTGGGGTTCAAATCTTCACAAAAGGTTAAATATCTAGAATGTAAACATTCTATTGGTGTGGCTGCATGGTGACTAAGTGATTGGTGGCATAAATAGAATTTAAAATGCCTTATAGCATCTAGGAGATGCTGTTCTTAGCACAGTACTTAAAGGAGAGCAAAATCATGAGCTGGATAAAAGGAGATGCAAGACCAGGTACAAATGACCTTTGATGATCTCATGAAAACGTTCTGACTTGCGCAGTAGCTGATGGATTTTTAGATCTTAGACGGGCATCTCTTGCCCGTCGGGATGCCCCAGTGGACAGCTGGCATGTGCAATCAGGGGATGTAAACTAGCTTTAGCACTGGCTTAAGTTAAGAAGAGGAAAATGACTGTAAAGCTCCTAGAATATGCTCCCACTGTATGTCCAGAAGCCTAACACACAGGATGGGATCATCTGCCCTTTCAGAACCACATCGCCGCCGCTGCCCTTCACCACAGACATGGGCTCAGCTCGTGCATTTAGAAAATTGTACTCTTATAAATGTGTAAATATGTCGAGAATGATTTTTCTGTATCCTCAGCTCTTCAGTCACAACCTGCTTCAAAGGCAAACTGTGTGACATAATAAATAACTTGAGTAAAACTGATCAGAGAATTCAAATTAGTGAGTTTCCCCAGCAAGGCTGACTCCCCTCCTTGTTTCCAGCAGACTCGCCGGGTGTGCCCCCCAGTGCCAACGCCCATCACCTGTTCAGAGGATTCAGCTTTGTGGCCTCAAGCCTGGCCCAGGAGTCCCCGCAGCAAGACATGCACAGAGCCGCCGCCCACCCCATTGTGCAGGTAACCTCACCACGCGACTCTTGGCCTCCAGCAGGTGGGGTGGGAGGCGCCCGCCCAGAGTTGCCCGCGGACTGGGAGCCGTGTCAGCGAGGCCGGATGTGCCATCCTTGCCCAGCTCCTGCCTGGCCTCCTGGTGTCAAAGTGCCTGCCTGAACGTGTGCCCCCTGCCTCACGTCCATGCTGAAGGGACAAGTCTCAAGGAGAATGTCACCATGGTGTGTCTGACCCCACAGTGGTCAGACATGGGCCTCCTCACCGCGCCGCCAAGCCGGCACCCTGAGACAAGGGTTCAGTTTGTGGGTGACATTTCCCTGTTGGGAAATGTACGCTCTGGGAGATCAGTGAAGGTGACATTTTTACAAGGAGTCTTCCACCTCATAAATGTAACTGGATATAAAGAACTCTAAGAAGGAGTTGAATGAAATTTGGTTTAAGGATTGAGTCAGGCTAACCTGGAGGTGTTGTATTTCCATATTTCTCTCCCCAAGGCCTTGTGAACAAACATGGCCTGTCTAAAGTGTACACTTGATGGGACTGTCATTGGTGGCTTTTGTCTGCACCGAGTGGGTGCAGGATTGTGTACGCAGGCAGAGCTGGTTGTGGCTGGGACGTTCTGGGGTCATAGTCAGTCAGGTATTGATATCCAGGTGTGCCTCTAGACTCAAGCATCAGCAGCACACACACGCCCTGCCCTGCCGGGGCTTCTGCCCCCTGACACATGTTCTCAGGTCTTTGGGGGAAGCCAGCTGGCCACCTGACAGTGTGCTGTAGTGTCTAAAAACTGAGTCACAGCCCGGGAGGTCAGGGAAGTTGGGATTTAGAGTGGGGCCATTTCTGACTAGCTGTGTGACCTCCAACAGAGGGCCCACTAACCCCTGGCCTCAGCGTCCCCACATGCACCTTCTGGAGCCACTGTCTGTGCCACATCTGTGGGCTGGTGGCAGTGCCTTTGCACAAGGGCTCTGACCTTGCTCGCCATCTCTCTGCAGCAGCTGCATGGGAACAGCATACACTTCACCGATGGCTACGAGGTCAAGGAGGACATCGGGGTGGGCTCCTACTCCGTGTGCAAGCGCTGTGTGCATAAAGCTACCGATGCCGAGTATGCCGTGAAGGTAAGACGGTGCATGTGCAGTGCGTGACTGAGTGGGCGCGATGCACACCAGCTGCTCAGCAAATAAATAGAAGCATAAATGGGTAGTGTTTGCAAAGCTTAAGCAGAGAGCTGATTTTTACTCTCAACCATCAAGAACAGTAAATAGTAACAATTATCTATAATCCAGTTTGGCAAACTCCCATAGCTTCTGTAATTGTTGCTAGATTAAATATTTGATCCCCAAAATACCAATTTCTTTAGTTTTCTGGTTGGTCAAATGTGAATTAAAGCTAACGCCTCCTGCTAAAACCTTAACCTAATTTATGTAAGAAGATAAATTGTACATTCTCTCTACAAGAAAGCCAGAGGTGCTCTAACTCCACCATTTTCCCACTAAACCGAACTTGGGACTCTTGAGAAATCAGGTCCGGCCTGTGGTCCTGTCACGACTGGACCAGGTCTGGCTTATCGTAAACTTGTCCGTAGCACATGGCACCTGCTCTTCAAAGAACATTTGGGGCAAGACGAATCTGTCCAGTGGCCAGCAGTGTGAAGGGAATAACCCCATCCATCGTGATTTTCCTAAGCCCTGAAACAATTGTTCAAAACGATGACTGCAGTGAAGTGACCCCGTTCAGTCCTGAGTCACCAACACGCCACTGCCATTTTGTGAAAACAGGCTTTTCAAACAGAGGATATTCACACAGTACATCTGCGGGGGGTGCCTGGCCAGCACTTCTCAAACTGAGACGGTGCTCAGCCCCATCAAAGGCACCAGCCAAGGAATCTCAGGCCCCTCGGTTTAGTAAGGGCTGGGAATTTATGGCTTTTTGACAAATGTGTCTTGAATACCTCAAACAAAAAGGAATGTTTAAACTTGGAGAAACAATGAATGTCTGGGCTTTGCTGATATTCTCTGCTGATAGAGTCCCAGCATCTTGGACGCATCAAAGGGTCCCTGAAAGGAGCAGAGATAACCCAACTGAACAATCCTGGGAGGACAGAGGGGCACCATGGCGGGGGCTGCTCTCAGAATGTCCCCAGCAGGCTCAAGAGCCCAGGACAGCCCAGAGGCGCCATGAGCAGTAACCTGCACGGCTCGGGCGGTGGGTTCTGGTGCCCTTCGGGGATTTGGATTGCTGAGGGGTTCTTCCTCATCCTTGGGAGAGTTTAAGGGAGAAGCTGGGTGGAGCCTGCCATGTCCGCATCCAGGTGCTGTTCCGGCACAGACGTGTGGCGGGAACGAGGCCTACGCTCTGCCTCCGACGAGGGAGTTGCATTTACAGTTTGTGCTGTGTTTCACATACGCCTCACAAGCAGGCATGGGCCTCTGGGAACCCTGTTTGCGGGGCTCATCTCTCCCAGAATTCCTTTTTGTAGTTTTTTTGGGCTGCAGCAGCCATCCTAGAAACACTCGCTGCTTCCAGTGAATGCAGAGAAATGGCCCTGCTGTCCGGCTGGCTCACCGGCCTCGTGCCCTTAGGGAGCAGCCTGCCTCCCAGGCCGCTCAGCCACTTTGCACCCCTGAAAGTAGGCCTCCCACTGCAGAGGCCCTGGTGTGCTCTCCACGTGTGTTCCCATGTTCAGCTCCCCGAGAGGCCCCAACTGAGTCCCGCCATGCTTACGGCCCAGACCTCGTTCCCAGCGGTCTCCCTGAGGCCTGGCACTGTGGTGCAGCCCCCAAGACTGCAGCCCTCAGCTCAGAGGAGTCGCCTCTGGGCAGGTGAAGCTGCCGCTTGTGGGAGGGGCTCTCATCCTCTCGAGCCTCCAGGGCACCATCATCCATGGACTGGTGGATGCTAAGATGACCGAGCCCAGGAATGAGCAGCGACTTCCCAGAGAAGCAGCTCCCCACACAGCACACCCCTGACCCCGAGCAGCGGCCAGGTCATTGGGCCAAAGGCAGGCTCCCCTGGTTGCTTTTCCCTCAAAGCTGAGAGATGGCAGGACTTCTCTGTCCTAAAGGTATCTAATTTTACCACTATTCTTTGTCGTGGCAAAGAATCATTTTTCAGGATGGACCTCTTTGTTTCCAAAATGCTTTAAATGCTACTCATCACTCTTCTGTCTGGCTTTCAGCACATTCCAGGTGGAGCACAATTTAGGTGCTCTGGGTTCTTCCGCATCAGCTGGCTTACTGAGGGGGACAGGCTCCCCACTTGCTGATGGAGAAACTCAGCTTTCTACTGGAGCAAAACTGGGGGCACGGCCTTTAAGCAATGGACACCTGAGGTGGATCTAGGTTCAACAAAAATCGTGTTGAGACTCAGTTGCTGGAGGGCAGCTCGCCCCTCCCAGCAAACACGCAGGCAGCCTGCAAACCCAGCTATCCAAGTGCTTACATGGATAGAGCAGGGTGGCTGTTTTATTTTGCAAAGCAATGCATTCAGAGCCAGTCCGGGCCTTCTCACCCCGCTGCTCAGTGACTCCCGCCCCCTCCCCAACACTGAGTAGTGAGCAGAAGATGGTGAGCGGCCACCTCGACTCCAGCAGGCTGGTACTCGGGAGATGTGGGTGCAGTCCGCCTTCCCTGTTAGCTTCTACTTCCACTTTGAGTGGCAGGGTGGGCATCTTCCGGGGCAGGGCAGCCCCTCTCGGGATGGAGCAGGAACACCAAGGCAGGGCCTTCGGAGAGGAGCGTGGGCCGCCTCATCACTCCGGAGGACGACACCGTCAGCCTCAGTGCTCAGGGGGTACAGCAGGCCTCGTGTCTTGGAAATATCCCTGTAATTTGTTATGTTACTAAAAATACCTTAGTTTTAGCAATAGACTCAGATAAAAATAAAGTGAGAGCCTCACGATTGTGTGAGCATACGTGTCACCTAGTTATTCATTCAGTGATGAAGTGTGGCTGTACGCACGAGCCTGAAGTGGGAGAAGCCCACCCGAGACAGCCCTGATCTGTGTTCTTGGCAGACCATTTGCAGCAGTGTTAGCACTCCTGGGCCCCCTTTCATACTGTGTGTGTAATTTGTCAGCCAGAAAAGCAATGGAATTAAGACAGATGCTTGACGTGAATAGAACTTATTTTTAGAAGGAAAATTGATTGGCATGGAAATTTCCATTGTTTCTGGCAGGAAAACTTGCAGTCCTTTGCGTCATGTGTTTAAACTAATTGTCCAGGAGAAGGTGTCTGTTAAATGTTGCAAGTGCTTGCAAACCACCCCCATCCACACGTGCTTTGGGGCCTTTGGACAAGCCAGTAGACATGCCCTGCCCCGTGAGGTGCTTTGCCAGTCTGTGGGTTCACCTCCATCTCGTGTCCAGTTAGCACCCCAAATCCCACTTCCCAGGTGAGGTGAGGAAGCAGGGACCCAGCACGGATGCCAAAAACGCATGCTGATGGTGACGTCTCATCAGGTCCTGCTCCCATCCTCAGCCTCCAGGAACAAAGGCCTATCTGACACGTCCCTACCCGGGTGCTGCGCCTCCCGCGGGAGGTCAGTGCTGCCTGCCTCCCATCAGAGATAAGACCTGCCTCGCAGGTGTGCCGACTCCACACCTCCATGGAAAGTGAAGTTTGCAGCCTGTCGATTGGCAGTGCCATGGGAGCTGTCCTCACCGGCCACGGGGGTGCCGACCCCTGAGCAGGTCTGTCCTCTGCAGCTGCTGCCAGAGGAGAGGGAGGCACTGCTCCTCTGCCCCCTCTGTGGTCCCCTTGTCACCATTTGAGCATCAGCCCAACAGAGGAAGCCTAACCCATGCACAGTCTGTTCCTCAGGACATAACATACTGTGTCCCATACATAATTCCTTCCTCGGTTTTGCCGCATAACAAAGACCAGAAAACAATGTTATTCTCAAAATAAGGAACTCAGTCCACCAGGGCCTGAACTGAAAGCAAGTCTGGCAGTAGCGGCCCTGTGGAGCCGTCCCACAGAGGAGGCTTATTCCTTAACGAGTCTGAGCAGGAGGCTCAGAACCTCTCTCGGGCCCTGCCATCCACTGGCCCAGGCCCCGGGCCTTGTGCTCAGGGACCAAGGCCATGCCTCCCTCATGTCCCTGTCAGGACTCCTCTTCCCCATCTTTCACAAAAAAATCCCAGGAAAGGGCATTATATGAAAGCAGCCAGCGCACAGTGGGAATCAAACACTGGGCCTGCATGGAACTGGCAGCCATGTCTTGAATCCGTGCCAGCTCAGGTTAGGTTTGGGATGCCCTGCTGGGATCAGGGCAAAGGTAGGAAGTGAGGAGGGTGGGGTTGAGACCCTGTTCCTGTCCTGGTTCTACTGGGACTTCCCTTCCGGGCTGGTGTCTCATTCCCCCTGCAGACTCACCTCCTTAACCCCCACCCCTACCAGACCCAACAGGCTGGCCCTTAGGGGCCACGTCACAGAGCCTGCCTTGTCCTCTGGCTTCTGGTCAGTCCCACCATGAAGAGACGCCACGGGAGGAAGGAGGGCCAGCTTTTGCCAGATGCCCTGTGTGCACCGCCACCCCATCTGGTCCCATACCTGCAGCCTGCCCTGTCCCCGCGCCACTACACATCAACTCATTAAGGAACCTCCTTTCCTATAGAGCAAGCCTTTAAAAGTCCCTCCTTTAGAACATGCAGCATCTGTTGGCTTATTTCAATAACAGAGGTAATCCTGGTGTCCTAGCTAAAGCTTTAGTGGAATTAACTGGAACAAGAGGAGAAAAATGTTGTGTCAAGAAAGGGAGCTTAACTTTTCACTTGTTTAACAATGTGAGTGTTGCTAGGGTCATGATTCAGGGTCACCGATGTCATCAGAGCCTGGCGGTGGGCTTGCAAACTGAGCTGGAGAGGGTGGAGCTGGCACCTCGGCCCCTCTCCTAGCAGGAAGGGTGAACTGGGCCTGAGACCAACCGTGGGTCAAATGCCACCAAGCATTTTGTTCATCTAAAGAAAAGAGGCCAAGTCACACCAACCTCTGCTTAGTCTTTGATGTGATGGGGAACGAAAGCAAACCTCCCTCATACTCCAGTGGCTGAATGATCACACAATGTCCAGAGAGCAAACGTTTTAAACTTAGGTCGAACTAATGTGCAAGAACATTATGAAAGACTCTTCTAGGTCAGGTTTCATTTCCAACACATATAGACTTTGTAAGGATGGGGCACCCTACCCCACCTGATCCACCCCCATGGAAGCAGGGTGTAAACACGCTACCAGCAGATCAGTCCCTGTTTCAAGTAGGCTTTGATGCATGACACCTGTCGCTGGAAGCCATCTGTTTCCATGGGTGAAAGGATTTTATCTGTGAGCCTGAGGATGGGCTGCAAAGGCTGAGTGGTGGGGGGCGTAGAAGCAGAGAGGGGCATTTACGGGTCTGACCCTGACAGCGGACTCAGCACAGATGCCAGCCTGGTGACCCCTGGTGAGGGCCATGCACTTGACCTCACTCGTTGCCAGCGTGTAGCCACAGGATGAGGTGAGAGAGAGACAGCAGCTGAAGGCTCATTTTGGACAGAGCAAAGGGCACGGGCCACCAACCCAGAGCCTACCACGTGGCTGGACAGCACCTTCCTTTGTTGGGAGCCTGAGAGAGCTCCACAACCTGCCCGTCTCCACCCAACCCTATAATATCTCAAATTGGTGTCGGGAGGCTTGTGCCCTCTTTTTTTAACGTGCTCTCATGCCAGTTGTGGAGGAAGACTGCAGGTATCTCTAGGCCATCGTGAGTCACATTGCTTGAGCATGAGCTGGAGGGGAGAAGGCAACAAGGTCCCCAGCCAGCAGACGCCATCCGAAAGCCTCCTGTCGCTGCTCTGCTTGTTCCAGATCATCGATAAGAGCAAGAAAGACCCCTCAGAAGAGATTGAGATCCTGCTGAGGTACGGCCAGCATCCGAACATCATCTCCCTCAAGGACGTAAGTGGTCTTTGTGCTGCACACTGCCCCTCATGCGCTGTCCCTTCAGCTGGTGACTGAGCGCATGATTTCTGCACAGTTCAAAGCTGTCAACACCCAGAGCGGGTGCCACACATGCCTCAGAATCGCCTCCAGCCTGTCGGCCTGACATGCCCTTGATAACCCCACTCCTCCCATGTCACCTACTGTGCACATGTGGAGGGGGAGATATCAGTGTGAATTTGAATGTGCTATTTCCCGTCACCATTCCCAAATAGATCAGAAGCAGAGAGTGTGGTGTGGGTGGGATGGGGCCGGTCAGAGCGGACGCCACGTGCGGCTGCTCACCTCTTCCCTTGCTTGCCTAATGGGTGGCTCATGGCCCTGGTTCCCAGGGGTGTAAGGAGCAGGAAGCAGCCAGGTGGGAGGCACCCGCATCATGCCCCTAAGTCCTAGGGCTGTGGTGTTTGCAGTTGGAGGGAGTGATCCCCCACCTTCACCCTCAAACTCCAGAGTGATTCCAGAATCCTGAACCAGGAACCTCAAAATATTGAAGCCACCTTGATTTCCCTTTGGGCCCCGTGAGTCCCTGGCATAAGAGGGCTTCAGCGCACCAATTCAGCCCTGAGGGAATGTGAAGTACTTGCCTTATTCCAACAAGTGGTGGAAAGAAGCGTAGCTTTATCCCTTGGGTTAGGGTTCCCCCCACTGCACCAGATCAGCCCTCTGCCATTCCGTTGTTTATTTCTGTGTTAAGATCCACAAACAGAAATGAACTAACTTGAAACTTCCCAAGTGTTTTGAACTATTTCTGTTATGTCTGGGCTGAGTGACTCCAGGTCAATCATGTTGTCATGTGTATATCCTGAAAAACAGAGGTTCTGACTTCATTAACTCAGAAATAAATACTCTAGAGTTAACTTCCTGTCCTTTATTGAGCTCAGAGGTGGGCAAATTGTTCTGAAAATGCACTAATTTGCAAGCTCGCAGGTGATGGTAGGGAGGCGCTTGCCCACATCTCCACCTGGCCCCTCTCCGGTGGGACCCTCACGGGCCGGGCGTGGTGCCCACGAAGCTCTGTCTTCCCAGTGCTTTTCTGAGCTCCAATAAGGGCAGGTGCACTTGGCCCTTGCCTCCCCTGCCCACCTGGACTCTGGGGTCTGGCTGCTCCATTCTGTCCATGGCTCAAAGGCTCAGGGGGGCCCCTGCGGGCTGGTTAGAAATCACCCTGACCCACTAGGTCAGAACTGGTGAACTACGCCCCACAGACCCACCACAAGCGATGGACCAGCGTCCGCACTGTGCGCCTGTAAGCACTCCCCTGCAGGGCTGAAATCATCCATGCAAGCCCTGGCTCCGGGCTGGCTGATACCCTGCTAGCCACGGTCGTCAGAGCTCTGCTCTTCCTAAGAGGAGCCATGGCTGGCATGGCTGCGATGGCCGTGCCCTCATTTTCTAAAGGTCTTGGTTTACTTCAGGGCCTGCGTATTGACGTCTGCCTGCTGGGGCTCCCTCCTCCCGTGGTGGCTGCCGCCCCTGAGGTCTGTGTGTTTCTTTCCCGCCTGCCAGGTCTACGATGACGGCAAGTTCGTGTACCTCGTGATGGAGCTGATGCGTGGTGGAGAGCTGCTGGACCGCATCCTCCGGCAGAGGTTCTTCTCCGAGCGGGAGGCCAGCGATGTGCTGTGCGCCATCACCAGGACACTGGACTACCTGCACTCACAGGGGGTGAGGCCCCCGGGTCAGGGGGCGCAGGGGGTGCTAACAGGAAGCCCAGGTCAGCAGCTCCAGCTCCGGAGCTGGGACCCAAGTAGTCCTTGGCTTCCTCTTTACCGCAGCGTCCCTGTGGTGTCTAGAGTCATTGCTCACAGCGTATGCAGGAGTGAGGCAAGGAATGGTCAGCATCCAAACCTGGACCAGTCACAGCAACAGAGTACTTTGGGCTTGATAAAGGGAAATGGAATTTTCATCACTTGCCTTACATAAAGTTGAATTCCTTAACCAATGCACAGGAATCCTGCAGGTAAAATGACAGTAATAGGTAAGGCCCACAAAGCCTGCCATGCTGCAGGCGCCACTTTAAGCCCTTCACGGATGCAGTCCTATGCCCTGGAGCACACACATCCCCCGGGCGGGGACACTGGGGTACAGAAGGGTCACATACTTACATACTTTGCCCCCTGCTGCACACGAGTGAGTGGTAGCCGGGGTTCCAGCCTGCACTCTGCTTCCGGGCCCCATGCTCTCCACTCACGGGGCAGTCGTGTGCACCCCAGCCTCCTCCTGCCCCCGCTCCTCAGCACTGCTTCCTTGGCCAGCCATGTGCGTTTGGTCATAAGCTTTAAAAGTGCTGCCGTCTCTGAGCTGGAGTGTATTCCCCCAGGACGACAGGTCCTTTTTGTGTAGTCACCTGGTGGTCTGGGAATATTAAGCCTTTCCGGGTTCCCCAGAGCAGACTGTAGAGGAAACACCTTGGGTGACGGTTTCTGTGGACTTGCTTCTGTTGACCCAGCACCTGATGGAACTGGAGCCAAGCTCCCTGTCCCCCTGCCTTCACCACCTCTGGAACCGGGCTGGCTGCCTGCAGCTGTCCCTGTGATTTCCCTCCTTTATCCTCTCTTGGGTTTTAACAGGGCACCAGAGACAGGCAGGTCCCCAGCTGTGTGCAGACACAGCCTCTGTTGCCTGATGAGTAAACCGCATTGTGCCCTAGATGGCTGCTGGTGTCAGGGTGTCACTGGCCCTGCCATCCTCTTCTGTGGGCCCAGCACCTGCTGGGAGCACCCAGCCCATCCCTCAGCACAGGAGCTGTCTTAGGGCTTCTGTGCTATTGCTGCCAACCTGTGCACTGGTCATGTGGCCCGTGATGGAGGCTGCTGGGCTCTGTCACCTACCACTGTACTCAGCAGCGAGTCATGCTGGAACATGGTATGCATGTGGCAGATGTTTATCTTTAGAAATCTCTGTATTCCCATTACCTGATCTCACCACAACACTTCCTTGAATGGCCCTGATAAGCTGTGCCCTCATCTTGGATAGCTACTTATTTAGTCATTGCCGTATCCATTCCCCATCAAAGGGGTTTACACCCGGCACTTAGATCTGAGTGTCAGTGTGAGAAAGAGAAGGGTGGGCCTGTCTCTCAACAAGGCAGCATCCAAGCTGAGGTGCTTGCCCTGCAGGACCACTCAGGGAGACGGTCCCAGAACAGGCCCTCAGCTCCCCAGTGCACCCCCTTCTCTTTCCTGCTCTGTCCCAGGCCCCCAAGTTATGCACAGTTCCTTCTGTTGTTCCAGGTTGTTCATCGAGACCTGAAGCCAAGCAATATACTGTATATGGACGAGTCTGGCAACCCGGAATCCATACGAATCTGTGACTTCGGGTTTGCCAAGCAGCTGCGAGCCGAGAATGGGCTGCTGATGACACCGTGCTACACAGCCAACTTTGTTGCCCCAGAGGTGAGACAAGGTCTGAGCCCGCAGAGGACAGGCCTCTCGTCCCGGAGTGTAACTGCTGCACTGGAGGCATCGGGTTTAGTTTAGTGATGCTGGAGATGAGAAATGGGTCCAAAAAGCATCAGCTACTGGCCTAGTACTGACGAGTCATTTCACCATCTTGGTATTTGGAAAATGTTTAAAGGGGATGTTTACTTGTAAAACGGTCACTGTGCTGGCGACCACTGGATCTAACCTGCGTGTTTGTGAGGAGTTATGGTGAGAAATAACACCCTCAGTCGTCCATGCAGCTGGGAAGGGTGCTGACAGGCCATCTGGTGTCAGAAACCTACCAGCGACTGCACAGGAGGAGGCTGGGAGTTTGCAGGCTTACTCTGTGCCAGAATTCTTGCTCCAGGTGGTGTTCCACGGCAGAGCAAGTCAGCTATCACATTTAATACTGGGGTTCCATGGTGATTTGCAGATGAAAACCCACAGAAATCTTAAGGGCTCTGCCCACGCGGCACATCGCAGAGAGTTGGGGCGTCCTCTACATCTCTGCCTTTTCAGCCTCCCCAGGGATCATTTCCATTAGGTCCTGAAGTCTCTGATTGTGTTTATGAAGACAAGTCCAGTCTCTTGCTTCTTAGAAAAGCAGCTGACCTGAGACATGGGGGAAGGTAGAGGCTGATGCGGGTGGGATGGGGGTCCAAGTGGAAACACATCAGATTCTGTGTGGATCCCCCCGGCTCCTGACGACACTGCTCCAGAGCTGGCCTGGGTCTGGCATGGGTGCATGGCAAGCCCTAAGAGAAGGGCATGCTGGCACCCTGTGGTTGGTCTAGGAGCTGAGAGATACCCACAGGCAGCACCCACAGCTATGCCCAGAGACACACCGATACAGCCCGAGGGGCGGCTCTGGGGCCATTATTATGTTATCCAGATGCTACTGTGGCCTCTTTAAAAATAAATAAACTTCTATAATTGCTGTATTTGATCAATATTGATAGTATTGATTTTAGTGGTCATAGAATACCTTAAATTGGTACATGACTTTACCATCTACAAAGCACATATACATATTTTTCACCTTTATTTTCATATGCCATCTGAATCAGACAGGGTAGATACTATTAGCCACACTTCACAGATGCAAAAAAAGAAACAGAAACAGGCTCAGCAAGCTGAAGTGGTTTTTCGGATCACACTGCTAGTGAGCCGTGAAGCCGGGACGTAAGCAGTGAACGTTCCGGTCGCTGCATGTGTTGGCTGACCACCTACCGTGTTCAGACCAGCACACTGTGTCGGCCGTTCAAAGATGAAAAGGTGGGGTCCTTGCCCTCATGTCTAAGGAAATTGAACATGTTTAATGCTGAATCCAATGATCTACAGTAATCTGTGAGCATATAATCTTTCTTTATTGTTACTCAACTGTTACTGTATCAGAGGATTGCCCTCTCCTGAAGTATGTGATCCTGGGCCGCGGAACAGCAAGCCATGAACTTGAATTTTCTTCCCCAAGTGCTGACCCATCATCTGCTCCTCCCCACACAGGTCCTGAAGCGGCAAGGCTACGACGCCGCGTGTGACATCTGGAGCTTGGGGATCCTGCTCTACACCATGCTGGCGGGGTAACGCAGGCCTGCGGCGGGGTCGGCCCTGCTGGGCCCTGGGGCAGAGGTTTTGGTGGCTGTCCCTCTGGGGCCAGGGCAGGCCTGTCCCCGAGCTGTGCGCAAGCAAGCACCGCAGGTCCTGGATGAACTCAGGCTTCTTTGGCCCTCTCAGGACAACTGAAGAGCAAGCATGAGAACAGCCGTCCGTTTTCCTTAGAAGTATCTCTAGAATTAGGGAACTGGGGCCACAGAACTCAGCTTGTCAGCAAAGAGCCCCCAGCGAGGCTTTGACCACATACCCACCCTCCCCACTGCACCACACCCCCCCCAGGGGGCCATGACACCTTTCCTTGAAAACATCCCCTCGAGCCATGGAGCCCCGTGAAGCTGTGACAGGCAGCACATTGAGGGAGGCGGCCAGCAGCGGCTCAAGGGGCCACAGCCGGGGGGCCACAGCTGAGCCGCCTGGTGAGACAGAGAGGTGGGCCTGCCGCCTTGCCACCCTGCAGCTTGGTGGTCTCTCGTCCCTTGCTGTGAATGAGAGGAGGACAGACCTGATGTCCAGGGCGCCTTCCAGCCACGAAGGGCTGCAGTCCTAATAAATCCACTGCCACCCAGTGTTTTCAGTTGGTTAAGTACGTGAGTGGAGGAAAAACAGCTCAGGCTCAACCAACCCTTTTTACTTTAGCAAAACAGGCAACATGTCCTCACAAGAGTGAGTGGGCAGCTCTTCCGTGGCCTCAGTGAGGTGCTTCGCCATAAGGCAGCACTTGTGCTGCAGGGAACACATGCCTGGAGCCTGGGCTGTGCCCTGAGGGCTGCAGTGACAGGGCCCCCCTCCTCCTGGAGTCCAGCGCAGGATTGCTCCCTGATCCCTGGCACTCACTCTGCCCACCTGCGGACTAGGGGCACACACCATGCCGCAGAAGAGGTGCTGTTAGCATCACATGACCCCTTTCCTGGGAAGGCGTATATCGAGCCACCTGGACTATGTTAAGAGGTGACAGAATGGCTTTGTGTTGCTCACAGCTGGGCAAGGACAGTATGCATGTTATGTGTGTTCATGCACACTGCTGCTATAGGTCCCTGTGAGGATATTCTACCCATCTTGCAAGTGAGGCCCAAAAAATTAGTTCGTCAAAGAACCGAGCATCGTAAGAGATGAGGTTGGGTCTCTCAGACCACAAATCTCAAGCTCTCAGCCATTACGTCCCACTCCCCATGGAAACTGAACTGCCAGGCAAGCCATGGTGCCACGCAGCAACCAGGGAAGCTGACGCGGCCCAGGAGGGCTCATCCTTGGGTCCCCAGAACTGTTCACTTGCCTTATTGACCTACAGCGTTGACCATGTAGGAAAATGGACATAGCGTTAGGAAAAGTGCTTTGCCATGAATCCCGCATTTGGATCCTTGGGGGAAAGAAAAAGCTATTGTTTTTTAACAACAAAGAGTCAGTATCAAGCTGTGAGCTTTATTTCAGATTATGCAATAGACGCTCATTACTGTAAATTCTCTCACTGCACAGATTTACCCCGTTTGCAAACGGACCAGATGATACTCCCGAGGAGGTTTTGGCGAGGATCGGCAGTGGGGAATATGCCCTTGTCGGGGGAAACTGGGACTCCATATCTGATGCGGCAAAGGTGAGGAAATGTCCCAGGATTCTTTCTTCTTAGGTATGGAAATTCTATAGTCAACATTTTGTTTATGAGGAAGCTAAAGAATACCTTTCATATAAATAATATGGATATTTTATCTCAGAGGTTTTCTTAAGCCTCTCCCCTAAAAAATTTTTTTGCAAAAATATTTTATAGCACTTTCACATTTTCTAAGTCTTGATATATTGGAGCTCTTGAGAGAAACAGAACTAATAGGATGTAGATGGATGGATGGATGGATAATAGTGAGAGTAATTTTAAGGAATTGGCTCACATCATCATGGAGGCCTGGATGGATAATAGTGAGAGTAATTTTAAGGAATTGGCTCACATCATCATGGAGGCCAGCAAGGCCAGGATCCCCAGAGCAGACCAGCAGTGTGGAAGCCCAGGGAAGGGTTGATGTTGCAGTCTAGTGCAAAGGCGGTCTGCTGAAGAATTCTCTCTTCCATTTCTGTGTGACCTCCTATAGAGGAGGCAGACGGGAAGGTGGAGGGGGCAGTGCAGAGGACAGGGGTCATGGCAGAGGAGATGGCAGAGGGGACAGTGCTGAGGACAGAGGTGATGACGGAGGAGATGGCAGAGGGGACAGTGCAGAGGACAGAGGTCCTGACAGAGGAGGTGACAGATGGGGAGATGGGACAGTGCAGAGGAGAGAGGTCCTGACAGAGGAGGTGGCAGAGGGCACGGCAGCTGGCATTCAGTGGGCACGTCCCGTGTGTCAGACCCTGACACTCCCCATGCTCCTCCATCTTCTCTGTCTCAGATACGTGTGGGATTGTCATCGTTCTGGTTCTCAGAGCAGAGCCACAGACAGGAACTCCGGTGCTGGTGGTTTCTCTGGGGGGTGATCTCCGAAACAGGTTTGGGGCAGGGAGGTGTCGAGAAAGGGGCTGAGTACAGGATGCATTCCCAGGACCACCGCTGCCCAGCGTGCCAGCTCCCAGGCCCTTGGCTGTCCCTGCCCCTCCCCGCACATCTTCCCTCTCATCCCCTTCTCCGTGTTCACTGTGTGGTGCCACCCCCAAGCCCCCAAAAGCTGAAAAGACCCCCGGCTCGCTGTGTCATCATCTTACCCTCATCCTGTGTGTACTACATAAAAACACACTGCTTTGCTGTGAGACCTTGAGCAAGTCAGTAAAGGTCTTTCTGCTTTCATTTTTATACCTGGAAATGGCAATAATAATTTTTCCAGGAAATATTTATTTCAAGAATCTACCAAGATTAATAAGGCATGGGACCTCCCAATAGAAAAAGGATACTGTATTGGTACGTAGTTTTCTTCATTATGGCTTAAGACCAGAATTTTTGCTGACTAATTCAACTTTACATTATACAAAGACTCGAATTCCCTTTGTTTCAATTTGGAGTGTGGTTGTCACTCATGGAAGGATGGCGGACTGCTGGGAAAGCAGATTCTTGCTGGGGGCCCTCCTGGGATGATTGACTATCGCTGTAGATGTCAATGTCTTCAACTACAAAACAGGGAAAGTATTACTGCCCTCCTCTCACCAGGACGAGCCTGCGGACTGGCAAAAGCAGGTGCACCAGGCACCGTGAATGCTGGTTTGCTCAGATACAAACCACAGTTGTAATACTGTGTGTGTGTGTGTATGTGTACACACTCATGTATGTGCTTTGCAACATGTAAAGTGGACCTGTATTTAAGCCAGTTTTAGGAGTCTTTATTGTTGTTTTATAATCAAATAAAATTCCCTTTATTGGACATGAGCCCATTGGACACACGTGATGGCTACAGACTGTCAATTCCATGCTTGGTGATTATTTATTACAAATATTTGTGGCTATTCCTGATAAAAAAATTTAACTACATACATTGTTGTGAATTGCTTTGTATCTGTGGGATATTCATTATTTAAGTATCTCCCTTTGGAAGGAAATCATTTTTACTAAGATAGTATTTCAGTAACTTACATGCAGCATTTTACATTTCCACATTTGATTTCTCTTTAGACCTAAAATTTTTAATACAATACAAACCTGGGGTGAACTGCCAAGTTGATGATGGTTAAAATTTTAAAACCATTCACCTTCCTGTAAACCTGAAAGTAAACATTTGGCTCTAAAATGCAAAGATTCACTCCCAGGGCAATCGTTAGTTTTGCTGCAAGAGGTAGAGAAGGAATTCACCAGGAAGGCTCTTTGAACCAGCACCAAATCAGATGCTCTTCCTCACCTCTCTCCCTTCCCCTCTAGGACGTCGTATCCAAGATGCTCCATGTGGATCCTCATCAGCGCCTGACGGCAGTTCAAGTCCTCAAACACCCATGGATTGTGAACAGAGAGCACCTGTCCCAAAACCAGCTCAGCAGACAAGATGTCCACCTGGTGAAGGTGCTGGCATGTGGGCAAGAAAGCAGGGATGCTGGGGGGACCCATAACAGCTGCTCTAATTAACGTAAGGAATTGGGGTGCAGCAGGGGAACCAGCTACAGGCACGAGTATGTACTCGTACACATTTCATCTCACACATGCAATCACGCGCAAACCCTGAGTAAGTTACAACCTCTGTCAACAGTTCTTAACAGCCTCATTGTGTGTGTGTGTGTGTGTGTGTGTGTGTGTGTGTGTCTGCATTTCAGGAGGACTCTACTTATAGAAACAAGCAGCCACAAGGTGGCCCAAGAGTGGCTTGTGACCCCTGCTTTACACCACTGCTCTCTCCATTAATTTTCCTGGTAGATTCCCCATGGCTCGTGCACCACAGAGTCTGGCTTTGACTCTTAAATATGTCCCGAGGCCTGTGGGCCATGAAAGAGACACCGGCTGTTCAGTGGCCTGAGATCAGGGCCTGTGCAGCGATGCTCGCACCACACGTTGGCAGGAGGGCCTTTTCCCTGGGACAACAGGGCTCTGACCAGCGATGTGGCTGCTCAGTGCGCCAGGTTGCCCGGGGGCTCTTGCTGCCCAGCCTCCCCAGCCCTGTCTGTTCCTGTGGTGCAGCTGTTATTTCTGAGTCACAGCTGCTGTGTGTCACTGAGCCGGATGGCAGCAAGGTCGAGGCCTCCGGTCCCTGCAGCCATGACACGCTGCCCTTCATGTGACCCAGATAGACTGACAGGCCCCCAAAGGACTGGGGTCTGCACTGCAGGGAAAAGCAGGTTCCGCCTCACATGCATGGTGGCTGCCTGGAGCGATGTCAGGAGCCTGAGGCCACCCATGCCTATGGCTCAGGGTTGGCCCCAGGAGGGTGGAAGCCCGTTCCAGGAAATCCAGCTATTGTGGAACTACACAGACTGACACCCCTCACTGCCCCCACTCGCACAGCATCGCCACTCATCTCTGAAGCCATGGCTTTGACATTTTCCTGTGTTCCCTTCATCTCAGTTGGATATATGAGACCGTGAGCCCCAGAACGACATTCCAGCTGATGCAGGGCATAGCATGCCAAGGTTCTCATGGTGTTTGTCTCGTGGGGAGCCCATCTTCTGAGAACTGATGGCAGCCCCAGCTGTGCAGGGCTTGGAGTATCCAGTTAGGGGCAGTTCAGGATGGAGAGAGATGCTCTGGACAAGCCCAGTACCCACTGTGGCCTGAGCAAAGTGGCAGCACTGTGGGTGGGGGTACCGGGACCCGGCCATGCCATGTGTGCTCCCAGGGGCCCAGCTGGTGCAGAGCAGCTGGCCCCGGGGCTCCTGCGAGTCTGCAGCGTTCATCCCGAGGCACGAGCACAGTGGAGAGCTGGCAGGGTGGTGGGGGGGTAGATGGACGAGGCCATCAGGACAGCGTCACCATGAGGTGTGGTGTGCAGAGCTGCAGCAAGCTTGGCACTCCTGCAGGGCTGCAGAAGGTGCTGTGTCCCTGGCGTCACAGGGCCTGCGGCTCCGAGTCTGTGGCTCCAGGTCCCCGCTCAGCCATGGTGGCACTTGGTCACGCCCCTTGCTTCCTTTTGCAGGGAGCAATGGCCGCCACCTACTTCGCTCTGAACAGAACGCCCCGGGCACCACGGCTGGAGCCAGTGCTGTCATCCCGCCTGGCTCAGCGCAGGGGCATGAAGACCCTCACGTCCACCAGGCTGTAGCAGCCCACTGAGGCCCAGGTGCCCCCATGCATTCCCCGTGCCTGTGTGCAGCCCAGGCGGGATCCAGGCCGGAGGCCTCCCCGCACCTCACTGTGCCAGCCTCACCACCTCGTCACCCCGAGCAAAACTGAGCGGCCCCATTTCACTGCGAAGCACCACGTGAATGCCTGCAGGCTCCTTCACACTCCACCAAAGCGTCACTATTACGGCTCCCATTTATACTGAGAGAGATTTTTTCCAGTTACAGAGCCGCTCGCAATTCAGTTACCGTGAGAAGATGCCCTGGCTGGTCTGCGCAGGGCCTCCCGGGGCGGGCTGGCCTCCGTGGTTCTGGCCCGGCCATGGGCCACGAGGTGGGGTGGCACACGGCACATGCGAGCGGGCACCTGGAACCCTCCAAACGTCCCCCTGGGCCTGGGGTGCCAGGCCTGCTGTCCAATGTCTCACACCTAAGGGGAGGAGTCGCCCAGCACCAGCGAGCTGTACCTTTGCCTTGGCAGCCACGTTTCTAAAGACTCACGCACATCCCCAGGAAGGAAGCCGGGGTGCGAGCAGCACTCGAGCAGCAGGTGCTCACCCCCACCTGGCCTAGCAGAGCCCCGCAGCTTCGGAGCCAGGCCTGCTGCCAGCCTCCTGCGTGCCCAGACCCATGGCATTGCTGTCTGCCTCCCTTGCCCGGTCCATGGAGCCCCCTGGGCTCAGCCGCCTCCCGTAACAGCTTTCTCAGTCCCACAGGGGATGGGAGGGGCTGGAGGGGACAGAGGGCCTGGCCCCTACGCCAGGGGCCGGGGGTGACACACTTTGTAGACACTGTGCTTTTGTGTTGCGTTCCATGTTGCTGCTGCACAGCCCTGGGTTCACCTGGCGTTTGCGTGCTGGGCAGTGTTTCCCGTGGCAGGGCGCATGGCAGTGCATCCCTTTGCTAAGTGACAAAGTCATGTCAGACGTGCAGGGGAGAGCCTGTGTCCTTCCCTCTTGCCCTCCGCAGGCCGCCGGCTGGGGCTTCCTGAGAAGGCCGCGGTCGTGTTTCTTCCCTCCCTCCGTCTCAGCTCACTCTCAGCCCGACTCGGGCAGGAACAGGACAGAGGCAGTGCTGGGAGGGACCCCTGGCCCAGGCTCAGGATTCCAGACCTTAAGATGTTCCGTATCTCGGGAGCTCCGGTCGGCCTGTGAGGTCCAAGAGCCACAGCAAGGACAGGGCAGCATCCCCACAAAGCCCTGCTAGGCATTTCTCGGATTTTCTCAGTAGAAAATGCTTTCTCCCAAGGCTGTAAAGACTCCCACACTAGTTTTGCTTTAGGTCTGAATTACTTTATCATGAGAAACAGGGAAAACAGGCCACAGGCCTCACTCTCTGAGGGTCGGCAGGCCTGTGATACCTTCTGTGTGCTGTGCAGACGGTGCCTGTTGGTCAGCTGCCCCAGCCTCTGGCCCCTGTTTCTTTGTTAGTTATTTCTGTGAGTTCTGATGGAGAGAAAGAAGTGGGGGAAACATGAGAAGTGTGGCTGAGAGGCTAGGAGACAGTCCCCGTTCTGCCAGCCCGTCACTGTTCCAGTCACACCAGGGTCTGGGGCCCTTGTCCTGACCCCGCAGAGCGCAGGGGATGGCTGAGGGGCTCACCCGGTGCCCAGCCCGTGCCCACCACCCCCTGCTCTGCCCACCCACTGCTACTTGAACGTCTGTAAAATACCTCTACTCTCTCACCTGACCCAGAGCAAAGCGATACTTGAAACCCTTCAGCCAAGAGTCAGCCTGGAGAAGTCGACATGATTTTAAAATGAACTTTCAGAAGCTCCCAGAAGTCTTAAGTGAAGGAGGTGCAGCTGGGGCAGGGGGCGAGGCAGTGCTTCACTCCCCGTGCCGGCTGTCCACACGGAGCAAAGGCTCTGCACGGTTTGCACGGGGGTTACAAGGCTGCGCCTGCCCACACGTACTCATGCCCCCGGATCATGGACCCCGAGTCCCGCCCGAGCGCCCAGGAGGGTCCAGCCCGCCTGCGGCCCCGTGATAGGCACCAGACCAGAGTCCAACCGGCGAGAAGGAGGTTTTGCGTCTGCCTTTGAGTCAGACTGTCCGTGATTTTAATCCAACCCGGTGTGTGTTGATGTTGCTCCGCCTTTTCAGTGATGATACGCTTACTCTTGGCCAGCCTTGCTCATTAAGCCGTGTTATTTCTCACGCCCCACCTCGGGATTTTTACCCTATGCTTTCCTGATTCTCTCAAGCACATGATCGATTTGATTTGCACTGTTTCCTTTCCATTGTGGTTTTGTGGCCCCCACCTCCCCAAGAGTCGTGAAAGTTCTGGAATGGAAGAGGACTGGCAGGCTCCTGAGTGGTGAGAAGGCGGGAGGTGAGCCGGGAGCTGCTTGGAAGAGGCTGTCGGACGCTCCGGTAGCTGGCGCTGAGCACGCCTCCCGCCCACACCGGCCCAGCACTTTGTTTACGAGACTGCACTTATGTTTACAGGGCATCTTTATGTTCATGCTGTGCATTGTATGTTTGGGATGGGCGGCCACTATACAGATATTTATTATGCTTTCCAGACTTTCTGAATAGATTTTTGAATAAATGTGGGTTTTATGAAGTGTCACATTTTTCTAGCCAAACAATGATCGTTGGGCTTTCTCTGTTGTCACCAGACTCTGTGCGCCAGTGAGTTGCTGATGCCCTGTCTCCTCACAGTCTCCAGGCTGCTGCCGGCCTCTGTTGCCACCACATGGCATCTTCAGGGGGTGGGGGGGCAGTATCCCATCTGCTCTGTGTACATGTGTGTGTTGTATGTGTATGTGGGTGGGTGATCATGTGTGTGCTGTGTGTACACATGTACCTTGTGTGTGAGCACTGGGTGCACGTGCATTATGTGGTAGGTGTAATGCACATGTGCATCTGTATGGTGCACACAGGTGTGTGCACATGTATGTGTGTGTTCAAGCATGCATGTGTTCCTGTGTGGGTGTGCATGTGTGCACGTGTGGTGTGTGTGCACTCCACATTAAGCCTAGTCCTGTGATGGCACCAGGGATGCTGGCAGGAGACAGATGGTGGTGTTCTCAGCGAAGCAGCTGGCTGGTGTGGGCTGCTGGGGGGCCACCCCCTGTGTCTCCTGCAAACCACCCCCTGGCCTCATCATGCCCATCTTTATGTGGAGATAAGTGATGCTGTTGGGCTTGGGTTCTCCAACCTGATTTCTCATTTCCTGACCTGCACGTATTAGTGAGCAAGAGAGACACACAATTTCTGCCATCATATTCTAGACTGATCCCAGCACACTGAGGGGACTCCTGAAGTCCTTCGGACTCACAGGCCAAAGCATTGAAACTGTTGAGGAATCTCAGGACCCACAGAAAATGCACAATTAATTCTGCCCCTGCTACACCCAGGAGTGCCCAGAAAATCCAAATGAAGGAAACACAAATGGGGGACGCATCTCCCACGTCAGTGTGTATCATCCCGTTCCTGCGGGGACAAATCCCCACGGGCAGCATGAAACCATTGGTCGTGTTACAGTTCTGGGGGCCGGGAGTCCACAATGGGTCTCATGGGGCTAGAACCAAAGTGTCAGTAGGGCTGTGCTCGTTCCGGGGGCTTTGGGTGAACCAGCCCTTCCCATTTCCCAGGCTCCCTGCCCCTTGGCTCCTGCCCGTCATCGGTCCTCACAGCCCCCCGGGTGTCGCGCCCCATCCTTCCAGCACCTCACCCGCCACTCCTGCTGCCTCTTCTGCACCTCAGACCCTTGTGATGACACTGGCCGCCTGGAGAATCCAGGATGTGCTCCCTGTTTCAGTGTCAGCTGACTAGCAACCCGGTTCCCCTGCCCCCTCAATTCCTCTTCACCTGACACAGTCACGGGTTCTGAGCGGGTACATGACATCTTTGGGGATCCGTGATTCTGCCCGCCACACCACACTGAGCTGAGGGGAGAGCTGCTCAGTTTTTGGTTGGGGACAAGGTGTCGGGCACTGACTTCCGGCTGTTTCACTAAGGAGTCAGCGTGGTGCGGTCCTGTGGGTGTTGCACAGCATGGTGAGGTCCTCAGGGGCAGAGCCCACCGGAAGCAGCGTGCCCCCAGGCCTCTGGTGAAGGAGCACGGGCCAGGCACAGGTGTGGCCATGTCACAGCCAGGCACCCCGACTTGAGACACCCCAGTTCATAAAGGGCTGCAAGCAAACTGCCTGCCCTTCACCCAGAGGAGGACCCGGTCCTGCTTCCCCAGGCTGTCCACTAGGCAACCGTCCCTGAGAAAATCGCCCAGGAGCCGCACATGCACAAACACAAAACTGGGAGTTTGCCTTCCAAATTGTGACTCTGTTTTTGTATCCTTTGTCCCCAAATGCTGATCTGAGTGTCATCCGAGAGGCCAGGAGAGGAGGGCTCGTGCAGGCGCTGCCATCTCCGGGGCTGTCCTGCTTACTAAGCCACAGGTGCACCTTTGTAGGACTTAAGGCAGTTCTCCAGACACCTTTCCTGCAGAATGGTGCACATATGACCTCACATTCAGCTTGTCACTTGTCCTGAGGGCACAGCGCTGGCCACAGCCAAATCTACTTCACCACAAGCTGAAAACAAGCCACGTGAAGGAGCAGGGACCCGGGCCCCTGCCCCAGGAGCACAGCATCCTAGGGCCCGAAAAATAGCTGACATTTTTGGGTCTATGACCTTCTGGGTAAAATGAGTAAATCTCATTGGCAAAGGTGACCCCAAGTGCAGCTGACTCACAATCCGGAGGCCATGGCCTGCCTGGTGTGGCCACACACCCCCAACAGCCTGACTTACTCAGCTAACACGGGACAAGAATGCCTTCTTCACATGAGGGACCCTCACCAGTTTTTTTCAGTTTTTCAGTGGTTTTTAAATAATGACCATAATGTCACAATTGATGCATGGAAACTTGGACTAAATGGGCTTTTGATCCCTTATGCCAAGATTTAGTCATTCAGACAAGCGTTCTCTGAGTGCATCCTGTGAAGCCAGTTTTCCAGTGAGGGGAGAAAGGGGCTGAACCAGTAAAGAGTCAGAGCCCCCTGGGTTCCCAGGGGACGGTGCTCCGAGGTATGTGAGGCCAAGGAGAGGCAGCCGCTGCTCTACTTGGGAAGGGACTCAAAGCGTCTGTCCGTCCTTAAAATGGGCTGGTTCTTCTTAGCAACAGATATGACCAACCCCTCAGCGCTGACCAGCGAGCTTCATAGCCTCACTCTGCAGTAACGGTAAATATGCAGGCTTCATGTGTAATATTTACGTTTTCCTGCAAAAATACTTATTTGTGGGATTATAAAGTGCAGCTCCAGACCACACTGAGACTCTAATATAATGCATAGTATTCACACCATACTACCTTCCAAAAATCCAGAATATTCTAAATTCTGAAATATACAGGGTCCCAGGTTTCTGGGGTGAGGGGTAGTAGACTGTGTCCACTTCCTCCACCAGGTGCTTAACTGCTTTTCATCTCTACCCACCTCTTCTAGTTTCCAACAGTAGGAAGTGGCAGCTGTAAAATAGCAGCCCCAGTGCAGAGGGGGTGCTCTCCCGACCTCCTCTGCCTGTACCCACTCACCCCAACGCCGTTCAGAGCCTCACCTTCTGCCTAGGCCCCTGAGGCCTGAATAGGCCTCTGCTGTCTCCTGCTCTTGTTTATCCCTGGGGCTGCTATCCTGAGTAGCACATCTTTGTACCTAGGGCAGAAACACAAGAACGCTGAGGTGTGGCCATCTAACCCACTCCTTGTATTTGTATTTGTGAGGCAGAGTACAGGAGTGTGATGGTTAGTTTTGTATCAACTTGGCTGGACTATGGTGACCAGTTGTTTGTTCTAAATGTGGCCCTGAAGGTGTTTTTCAGACGTGATTAGCATTTACAACAGCTGACTGACGTTAAGTGAAGCAGACGACCCTCCATAATGTCATGGGCCTCTACCCACCAGATGGAGGCCTTGAGAGTGAGGACTGTGATTTCCCGAAAAAGAAGTTTTCCTCAGGCTACAGCACAGAAACCCTGCCTGGACCTCCAACATCATACTCAGACTGCAACGTCAGCTCTCACCTGCGCATCCAGCCGCCAGCTTCCTTTACAGCTTTCAGGTTTGCTAGGCCCCATGGTCGTGTGAGTCAGTTCCTTAAAATAAATCTCTCCCTTTCCTCCGATTGGTATATAGATAGATGGACAGAGGTATGGATTTGTATAGAGATACCTCTCCGTGGTTCTGTTTCTCTGGAGAACTCCAGTACAGTAGGACTGTATTTACCTTGCAGAAAATGAACAGGCTGTGAACTGTTCCGGGGCCTCACACAGGCACACTGAGTCACAGTTGTCATCAGGCACACACCACACACCCAGTAGGCCCCAGGCAGCCTGGTCACTGTAAGGGACCTCAGACTCGCTTTAACTGTAACTGTTCATATCTAGGCTTCCTGCTCAGCTGCTTAGTGCCAAGCGTAGGTAGGTTTGAGTGCAATTTTGGTCACATGTGTTTCTTAAAATCTATCAGGATATTGTCTGGCAGGGAAAATCCAACCCGCTCTTTTTCATTCTGGCTCAGACATGATCTCCATAAGCCTTCTCTAGATGCTGTTGTGTCTAGACTGGTCCTATAGGAGTGAGAGGCGGAAGGGAAACTGGCTTGGGTACACCTGTCTCCCCAGACCTGAAACACCTACCCGGTGGTGTGTTCCTTCTGCTCCCAGCTCGGCACCATGACCAGCACAAGCCATTCTTGTGAATGATTAAATAGATAAGGCATGGAACAATGGTGCCATGCGAGGTTCTACATGGGTCTCAGCACCCCAGGTGAGCAAGGTGGCCTTGCTGACCATGGCAGGCGAACCCCCTCAGTTCATTTCTTCCCCAAACTTCACCACAGTGCCCCCGGCCCAGAGAGCCTGCTCGCCGTGCATTTGCAATTGTCACAGCCTGCCGCCAGAGGGCGAAAATCCAGTGGCTCCGGCTGCGGGGGCTGAAGACCGTGTTCACCTTCCCATCTGTAAGCCTCTCCCAGAACAGGTGAGCCGCGATGCAAAGAGCCGCTCCTGCACCCCGACACGTACCCCAGGTCCTGACACCTCAGGGATGACTGACCCAGAGTTCTCAGCAGAGTCAGGCGACTGTGATCTGTGTCAACACTGAAAAGCTGCAGAATCAAATTCACTTGCAGTTACCTACACAGGTGAAAAGCCAGGTGTGTCTGATCTTAGGTTGGCGTTATATTTATATGGGTTATCTCACACATGGAAGGCATTTTAAAATTTCTTCTTTAAGATGCGTCTTCAGACGGAACAGAAATGTTACTTAATAAATGTCTTTATTAGATAAAAATCTTTCTTAAAACAAGGAAAAAATGTACAAAGGGCTTTTCAAAGGTGAAAATGGTCGCAAATCAAAGGTACAGGAGATTCTCAGACAGGGTCTGAAATAGCTGCATCTTTAAAGCATCCCAGGTGTCCATGGAGCAGCCTGTCAGAGAAGCATCACTGAAACCTGTGACTCAGAACCCTGGGAGCCCCCCGCAGTGGCTCCTGGCCAAGGTCTCGCGTGTGGCCCTGTGACTACTGAACAAGCCCCGGTCTTCAGCCCGAAGCTACTGACTTCAGC